TTCCCAAACTGGGGTTCGTGAACCCCTGGGGGTTCGCGAAATGTTACAGGGGGTTCTCAGGAAAAAATTCCCTAATGGCGGACAGAACTGTCCCTAGGGATCTTGGGCAGCACAGGGCCAGCAGCCCAGAGCCCCTGGACTTCCAAGAGCTAAGCAGCTCAAAGCAAGCCTATCTATCACACTGAGGAGATTTAAACTTCAAGACTCCTTATAAGAAATGGAAAGGGAGGTGGATATTTTTTGATATTTTTAAAATTAAATAGGCAGCTAGTATTGTTTTTTAAATTATTATGAAGAAAAAGTTTAAGTTTTGTTGTAACGTGCGTTGTTTGCCTGGACTGCTCAAGACCTGAATGCTTGTGTAGGAGAAACTCTTTGAGTTGGCTTCTTAAATACCTTCATGCTGTTTCACATCTGATACTCCTTGATGAAACATAGGAGCCTTGTCTTATAACAGGCTTATTCAAAGTGATACAAGCTACGAAAGTGAGATCTTGGAAGAGTGTTGCCATTTTCATAATGTAATAAAAAAACTGTAATGATAAATAATAATGAATAGTGTGTAATAAACAGTGTCTCATAAAAACAAATTTTATATTACCAAGATCACTGCTTTTATAATTTATATTCAGGTAAAGGAGAAAATCCCTGGAAATATTCATTTTTTAGGAGGGGGTTCACGACACTTGACATTTTAGCGAAAGGGGTTCACAGGTTCTTAAAGTTTGGGAACCACTGCCATAGGGTGAAATGAAACGCCTGTTGCCCCACAAATGGGGGGGGGGGAGTGTGTTTTTTTCCCCCTTTATGCTGAAGACAGATAAACATTAACCTTCAGGGATTAGTCATGTCCACAATATTGTAGCTATTTAAGATAAAAGGAAAAATAGCCCACAATCTCTCATGATTACAGAAATGTGCAGAAAAATGTGTAATTTATAACAAAGGTATTTCATTTTGCTCATTTGATTATGATGAATCTAAAAGGAAACGATAAACCTAATCCCATTTTCAGCTGAATCTTTTTTTTTTTTAAAACCTGTAATATTATTTTGAAATTGTTTACTCAGCAGGTGACAGCACTGGTGGCAGAATCAGTTTCACTGTTTTGTCACACTTCCTGTCTCATACACTAGCATAATGACATGGCTCTTATACGTTGCAGAGGGTATAATCCACGAGCACCAGTTTGAGGTCATAAGAACATAAGACTGGCCATACTGGGTCAGACCAAAGGTCCATCAAGCCCAGTATCCTGTCCTCTGACAGTGGCCAATGGCAGGTGCCCCAAAGGGAATGAACAGACAGATCATCATCAAGTGATCCATGCCCTGTCACCCAATCCCAGCTTCTGGCAAAAAGAGGCTAGGGACACCATCCCAGCCCATCCTGGCTAATAGCCATTGATGGACCTATCTTCTATCAATCTATCTAGCTCCCTTTTGAAAACCGTTATAGTATTGGCCTTCACAACACCCTCTGGCAAGGAGTTCCAGAGGTTGACAGTGTGTTGTGTGAAAAGATACTTTCTTGTGTTTGTTTTAAAACTTACTACCTATTAATTGCATTTGGTGGCCCCTTGTTCTTGTATTATGAGAAGGAGTAATAACACTTCCTTATTTACTTTCTCTATACCATTCATGATTTTATAGACCTTCATCATATCCACCCCCTTAGTCGCCTCTTTTCCAAGCTGAAAAGTCCCAGTCTTATTAATCTCCTCTCATACGGAAGCCGTTCTATACCCCTAATCATTTTTGTTGCCATTTTCTGAACCTTTTCCAATTCCAATATATCTTTTTTGAGATGGGCGACCACATCTGCATGCAGTATTCAAGGTGTGGGCATACCATGGATTTATATAGAGGCAAGATGATATTTTCTGTCTTGTTAGCCATCCCTTTCTTGATGATTCCCAACATTCTGTTCGCTTTTTTGACTGCCGTGCACATTGAGTGGATATTTCAGAGAACTATCCACAATGACTCCAAGATCTCTTTCTTGAGTGGTAACAGCTAATTTAGACCCCATCATTGTATATGTATAGTTAGGATTATGTTTTCCAATGTGCATTACCTTGCATTTATCAACATTAAATTTCATCTGCCATTTTGTTGCCCAGTCACACAGTTTTGAAAGATCCTTTTGTAGCTCTTTGCAGTCTGCCTGGGACTTAATTATCTTGAGTAGTTTTGTATCATTGGCAAAATTTGCCATCTCGCGGTTTACCCCTTTTTCCAGATCATTTATGAATATGTTAAATAGGACTGGGCCCAGTACAGATCCTCAGGGGACACCACTATTTACCTCTCTCCATTCTGAAAACTGACCATTTATTCCTACCCTTTGTTTCCTATCTTTTAACCAGTTACCAATCCATGAGAGAACCTTCCCTCTTATCCCATGACTACTTATTTTGCTTAAGAGTCTTTGGTGAGGGACTTTGTCAAAGGCTTTCTGAAAATCGAAATACACTATACCCACTGGATCTCCTTTGTCCACATGCGTGTTGACTCCCTCAAAGAATTCTAGTAGATTGGTGAGGCATGATTTCCTTTTACAAAAAACATGTTGACTATTTCCCAACAAATTATGTTCGTCTATGTGTCTGACAATTTTGTTCTTTACGACGGTTTCAATCAATTTGCCCGGTTCTGAAGTGAGACTTACTGGCCTGTAGTTGCTAAGGTCACTTTTCTGGAGCCCTTTTTAAAAATTGGCGTCATATTAGCTATCCTCCAGTCATTTGGTACAGTAGCTGATTTAAGTGATAGTTACAGATGACAGTTAGTAGTCCTGCAATTTCATATTTGAGTTCCTTCGGAACTCTTGGGTGATTACCATTAGGTCCTGGAGACTTATTACTGTTTAATTACTTATTATTATTTAGTTTAGGTCAGGGTGCCTCCTCTTTCCCTGAATCTCACCATGGGATTCAGAAGCAATTTGAACCCATGACTGCTGTGGGAGAGGGAAGAGAGAAAGCCCCCTTTACTCCCCAGACTTCTGCATGCAGCCAGGGACCAAGGTGAGAAACAGGAATGCTCTTGACTCCTTCATAGCTGGAAAGGAAGAACCTGTTGTACACATGCCCAACCCTATGCCTCTCTGTGGACCCAAGCTAGAGAGAAAAAGTCCAGGCCAGAAGTGAGGAAGTACTGACCTGGGAGGGAAGGATGGCGGGAGAAGACCTTCAAGCCCCTTTGTAGGATCCAGAAAAGATCTAGAGCAGCTGGGACGAGATGGAGAGGTGGCAGCCTCCTCTGATCCTGCTGGAGCCAGAGGATGAGCAGAGCCAAGAGGCAGCAAGGGCTAAAGGCACCCCTCCACGCTCTCCCTCCCTCCCCCTAAAGACAGGAGAAGGGAGGGAGATGAGACCAAGAGGTAACACCCCCTAAAGACAGGAAAAAGGAGAGAGAGGAGACCAAGAGGTAAGAGGGCTGCAAGTCCCTTGTCCATGGCCCCCTCCATAGAAGTCCTACTCGAGGACTCAGCCTCCCTCCCCACAGGAAGCCAGGTGACGGGAGAAGGCAGCAGCATCTGAGATAGGGCTGCAGGGGAAATACCCTGTCTCTGCCATAGGGAAGGGCAGAAGGCTGCAACAACTGTAGATGGGAGTGAGACCAGAAGGGGACTTGGAAGAAAGTATTGTCTTATGGTCAAAACACTGGACTGATCCTCAGGAGATTTGGGTTCTGTTCCTGGCTCTGCCACAGTCTTCCTGTGTGACCTTGGCCAAGTCATTTGCTATGTCTTGGTCCCCCATCTGTAAAATGAGGATGACAATAAGACTTTCCTGCCTTAGCTGGATGTTAAGAGAGTCAATTCATTAAGATTGTGAGGTACTCTGATACTGAGATAGAAATATTTCTTGCTTCTCCATGGCACTAAACAGGAGGATCAACAGGCGGGAGCAGGCTAAGAGACACCCCCTTCCCCCCAGGCCTTTGTGGAGCTGGGCAGGAGGAGGCAGCAGCTGGAAGGAGAGGAGACAGTCTCTTGGCTGCAGCTGTCCCAGTCTTGTGCACAGCAGTAAATTTCAGCTCCGGTGCATGTCCCCTGAGAGCCCTTGCTGTGGGCTTGCACACGCCCTTGTTTGTATGGGTCTTTCTGAAACAGCCAGGAAAACCGAGTTGAAATCAAAGGGGCACTCTGGGGCAGGCCAGCTGCACCAACATGCAATGATTATTTGTGGCTGTTATTATAGGTACATCTTTCGTGTGCTCTGACCTAAAGCCAAATCTAGGGAGCAAATACCCTGAGTATTTTATGACCCAGTCCAGATTCAGCTCAGCGTTTTCCCATTCAGCAACGTAACACTGATAGTACAAAGCTTTAACTTAACTCATCAGGCAAGACACAGAACAGATTTGGGGAGGGGGGGAAGAGCTGCGAACCCGCTGCTGCCTCTTGGAGCAGGAGCAAAAGAGAAGAGGAAGCAGAGAAAAGCAACACGTGCAGCAGCATCTCTGTCTGTCTCGCTGCGAGATCAAACCAGCAAGACGCAGGAGCTGAGCCAGCCAATCCCCCCACTCGTGCTGCCGCCAGCCGGGCAAGCGAACTGGGGGGTGGAAGGGGGAAGCCGTCCCGGGCTGGACAAGCTGCCTTCACGTCTGTGTAGCTGCTGCAGACAGTCACCGCGCTCTCCCGGGAGAGACCGAGACGAGATGCCCAGACACTTTCTAGCGCCGCAGGCAGGTGTCCCTAGAGCTGGGGGTGGGGGGTAGCGCCTGGCTCCCCAGGGGAGGGCAGGGGGAAATTACCTTCCCCCCATGCGAGCCAAGCGGGCTCATTTCTGGGGACCGCTCCCGGCCAGGCTATCCCGGCTCCGCGCTTCAGCGAACCTGCCCCGCGCCCCTGGACCCCACGCCCGCGCTCCTCGCTGCAGAGCAGGGGGCCCCCCGGCCCCTCCACCCGGATCCGGGCCCCAGCGCCCCCCCCCTTTGCCTCCTCTCCCGCCCCCAGCCCCTGCGCTGCCTGTTGCCCTGCCCGGGACTCACCCTCCTGTCTCGGCTCCCGAGTCCACGCAGTCATCCTCGCCGCCCGGCTTCCTCTCCATAGCGGGCGTCAGGGCTCCAGCTCCGCGGCCGGCGGCCCCTGCCTCCTCCCCCGGCTGGCTGCGGCCGCCTCCCGCCGCGCGCTCCCCCAGCGCTGGGGGTGAGGAGCCAGCGCAGGCCGCCGGGCTCCCCTCTCCCTTGGCAGCGAGAGCGTGTGCGGAGCCTCCCCGCCCCCAGCCAGCTCCGCCGCGGGGCTCTGGGTGTCAGCGCCGCTCCTGTGGCCCGGCCTCCTCCCCGCCTTTGTGCGCGGCTCCTGCATCTCCCCCGCCCCCCCAGTGGCCTGCCCGCTCCGCAGCAGCGACTCTCTCGCTGAGAAGGGGGCGCAGCCCTCCCCCCACGCTTTGGAAGTGGGTCTGTCCCATAGGTGACATCTTCATCGAGAAAAGCTCCCCAGTCGGGCCCTATTAGTTATTACAAACACATGTGGGAGTCACACGTGCTTGTGAGCACATGACAAACTCCAAGGAACTAACCCTGCTTGGTTCCAGTGGCTCTAGCCAGGGCTGGCTCCAGGCACCAGCTTGGCCAGCAGGTGCTTGGGGCGGCCACACCGGAGAGGGGCGGCAGTTCCAGCTATTCGGTGGCAATTCGGCGGACGGTCCCTCACTCCCTCTCAGAGCGAAGGACCTCCCGCCAAATTGCTGCCACAGATCGCGATCGTGGCTTTTTTTTTTTTTTTTTTTGGTTGCTTGGGGCGGCCAAAACCCTGGAGCCAGCCCTGGCTCTGGCTGAAGTCTGCCTTCTCCCCTCCCTTTGCTGGTTACAAGGGGCTACCTTTCAGGGGCCGTGGTAATATATAGTCTGAGACCTACTTTGAGATCTGCTGGGATGAAATGGAAAGGATTATTGCTTGGGCTTTCCAAAGGGGCCTAAGGGCTTGTCTACACTTGGAAGTTTTGCCAATTTAACCATACTAGTAGTTAAAGGGGCAACCCACTCCCCTGTCGTGGGCGCAGTTAGGTAGCTATAAAGGTGCTTACATTGGCTGGTAGAGCTGATTCTGGTTCAGGGAATGAAATAAATTATGTGGGAATAAGGCCCTTTATGCTCCTTTATAACTGCATACAGTTTCTGGTGTATAGCAGTATAATGATTTTGGTTAAAAAAAAATCAACTATTAACCAACATATACCTTTTCTAGTAGACCAGGCTGAAGAGAGTTGTATGCCCAACACCCATTGAAAGTCACATTCTGATTTCCTTCCCCAGACCTGAAGAGATCTGTGTAGCCAGGGCTGGCTCCAGGCACCAGCCTACCAAGCATGTGCTTGGGGCGGCACCTGGAGGGGGGCGGCGCTCAGTGTTGGGGTTTTTTTTAAACATGCTGGGGCTGTTGGGGCGCCCGGCAGCGCTCCAGCCCGAGAGCGGGGCCGCGACTGGGCTCGCCGCCCTCCCCGCGGCGCTCCGGCTCCCGGGGAGAGCGGAGCCGCAGCGGGCTCGCCACCCTCCCCCGGCGCTCCGGCCAGCCGGGGAGAGCGGGGCCGCGGCCGGGCTCTCCGCCCTCCTCCCGGCGCTCCGGCCGGTCGGGGAGAGGGGGCCCCGGCAGGGCTCTCCGCTCTCCTCCCGGCACTCCGGCTGGTCGGGAAGAGCGGGGCCCCGGCCGGGCTCTCCGCCCTCCTCCCGGCGCTCCGGCCGGTCGGGGAGAGCGGGGCCCCGGCCGGGCTCGCCGCCCTCCCCTGCTGCGCTCCCCGCCGGGGGGTGGGGGGGTGGCAGGAGGCTTTTTTGCCTGGGGTGGCAAAAAAGCCAGAGCCTGCCCTGTGTGTAGCTCAAAAGTTCAACCTTCCACATATTACCTCACTCAATATCGGGGTTGGAAAGGACTTCAGGAGGTCATGTAGTCTAACCTGCTGTTCAAAGCAGGACTAATCCCCAGACAGATTTGTACCCCACTTCCCTAAACCGCCCCCTCAAGGATTGAACTCACAACCCTGGATTTAGCAGGCCAATGCTCAAACCACTGAGCTACCCCCCTTCCTTCCTGTCTCTGGCTCTCTATGAAGAACTATGGAGCTTTCTTCCTTCTCACCCAGTTTCAACTTGTGCTTGATATTCCAGCAAAGTTAAATACAATTACTTTTTAAATTATATCATCCCATTCTGCAGACAATCAGCACACAATTCCTACTGACTCAAAAGAACCATACAAATAATTCTCATTTCCTACAATCCGTATTATTACCCAACTATGACCAAAGAAAGTGGTGAAAGTCTCAGCATTTGTGACATTTAAAACTAGATTGGACAAGACATTAACTAATATACTGTGGGAAACAAGCCTATATTGGCAAAAGGTGGACTAGATGCTTTAATACCATATGTATTTTCCATCTCTGATTTCCATAGCTGTGTCTACTTTGCCATAGATTTTGGGAAATTTCCCCATTATTGTACCATAACCAGTTCACCTTCACTGGTGGCAGCAGTGTTGGCAGCACTACTGTAGAGTAAGTACCAGCAAGGCATAGGTTAACATCCTGCTGTCTAGACCTGTTCTAAACAAGTCTGTTGTAGACACAGGTAGGTGGCACCATATTAAAAAAAAATGCCTTGTGGTCTGTTTGCACCATATCTGTTCCTGGAAGTGGAACTTGTTTAGAAGTAGTGCAACAGTGGATGATTCCTAAAACAGCCTAAAGACCCTAAACCAAAGGTCCCCAAACTCTGGGGCATGGCCCCCTAGGGTTTTGTTTTAAAAAATGCCCTAGAGAGTGTGCAGAAAACAAGGGGGACATGGAGGAATGTCTGTGGGGGCACGGCGGGGCCCAGGCCTGCCCCCATGGGAGGTGGGAAGGGAGTGCCCCCCAGCCCCTCCATGTCCCCAGCTCTGCTCTGGTCCCATCCCCAGCCTTGAGGTGGCTCCGCTCCCGGCCCCAGACCCACCCTAACTGTGGCCCCAGCCTCGGCTCCCTTACCCCTGTCTGTGTTCCCCCCTCCCGAGCCGCGTCCCTGCTCCCATCCCCAGCTCCAGGAGGACAGGGGGGCATTGACAGGAGTGAGGGGGAACACAACCCTCAAAAGTTTGGGGACCGCTGCCCTAAAAGCAATGAGACTACTCCAGTTTCACTGTATGAGGTACATCAGTGTGCAGAGGGGCCATGGGAGAGGCGGAGACTCCTCAGCCCCGGGGCACTATTCCCCTGTGGTTCTGTATGGTAGTACAGAGATGGTCTAGGCATGTGGCCAATGTGTCTATGAATCATACAGATCCATTACCCCCAAATACCATTGGTATATAAGGATTGTAGGCTGTAGCAGTTTTGAATATTTTCATGAATTTTAATGTATGTTAATATTGGTTTAAAATAGCCTTTTTTCCCCGGTATACAAGAGCTTTCCTATTATTCAAATAAAAAAGTGTGGCTTATATACTGTATAAGCTCTGTTCACTGAAGTCTCATCCCTCCCCCTCTCTCCCATTGAGTTAGTAAAAACTAGTCCTATAAGGAACAATCCTGCACTATCAGGGGGATGTCACATATATAGCCCTTTATACATTAAAATATTAAGGGACAGATTCGGCCCCCCCTCCCCCTTACTCCTGTAGAATAACACAACTGAAATCAATAAGGTTAGTTACATGTGCAAAGTTACGTTTAAAGGACTGGAGACAGAGAACTCTACTAGGCAGCGTGAACAATGGTGGCAGAATCTGGTCCTAAACCAGTTAATCCTCAAAACACCCTGTGAGATAAGAGGTATTTGTGACCTTCTCCTCTGGTGTTATCTGGATCGGTGATCTGCTAGGTCACTCCAGTCCTTGACTCTGGGAGCCAGCCTTACCCTGCTCTGCTGTGAGAACCCTCACTCCTGGGATGTTCACACACAGCCTCTGGCATGTAAGCTGCTCCTTGGATTGTGCAACTGAACAACACTAGCCAATATCTCTGGTCCCAGACACAACCCTAGGAACCTCCGTCTTGCAGTGTCCAGTTATGCCCGCTGGACGCTGCAAGCTTATAGGAGTTCATCAATTTAACAAAGAAATTGATATGTACCAGGCTGGTTATCCCAAGGGGAGTCTCTGACACGCTTCAAACCAAACGCACTGCTTCAGGTAGAATAAACAAACAGATTTATTAACTACAACGGTAGATTTTAAGTGATTATAAGTCAAAGCATAACAAGTCAGATTTGGTCAAATGAAATAAAAGCAAAACACATTCTAAGCTGATCTTAATACTTTCAATGCCCTTCCAAACTTAGATGCTTCTAACCACAGGCTGGCTGGTTGCTCTTCAGCCAGGCTCTCCCCTTTGATCAGCGCTTCATTCGCTTGGTGTGGTGTCTGTAGATGTAGGTGGAAGAGAGAGGAAGAGCATGGCAAACGTCTCTCCCTTTTATCATGTTCTTTCTTCCCCCTTGGCTTTGCCCCCCCCTTCCTTCAGAGTCAGGTGAGCATTACCTCATCACAGTCCCAAACTAACCAAAGGAAGGGGGGTGACTCACTCGATAGTCCAACAGATCCTTTGTTGTTGCCTAGGTCAGTGTCCTTTGTTCCTGTGAGGCTGGGCTGGGTTTGTCCCATATATGCCCTGATGAGGTATGAACTACCCCTCTGCTTTTGGAGAGTTTTTGCCTGGGCTTGCTTTAAGCCATGAGGATACATTTTCAGCCTCATAACTATATACATGAAATTATAACCTATAACATTACTATAACAACAATTACTGTAACATCACTAGAACAACAATGCTCAATGCATCATGAGCCTTCCGAAGACACCCGACATGACAAACTTTGCATTGGATACCACACAATCATTTTACAAGGATGAACATGGGAGTGCTGGGTGTTCCCCCGAGGTACAGAGCATCACAGTATTATCCCATGTTACAGTTGATGTGATTAAGTGATTTGCCCAAGGCTACAGAATGAGTTAGTGGCAAAACCAGGATTAGAATTCATTTCTTGGCTCCTAACCTGGGCCCCAATACTGTGAGGCATTGAATGTATAACTCCCAGTGATGTCAATATCAGTTGAGGGCATTGAGCCTCTCTCAGT